AAATATAAATATTTAAACAATTTTTGTGCAAAATTTTTCTGCACATGCATTTGAATATAAATTTCTGAGATTTTAAATCTGTTATTTTACCTTAATTTTAATTAAAAAATATTTTAAAACCTGCTGATTACCTATAGTATAATTAAATTTCAATATAATGCATGGCAACTGTTGGTAGTTTTGAAGTTTATATATTTTCTTGGCAAACTTCAGTTTTTGACATTTTTGACGGGTTTTTGACGGTTTAAACCAGTATTATACCCTTGTCATGTCAAAAACCACTTTTTGACGTCAAAAACCCAACCCTGTATCTAAGTATAAAAGTATTGCGTATAAACTCGTGCAAAACATGTCATTATTAAAAAACTACAGTGTCTCGAATCATTTGATCTAATTATTATTATATTCTACTATAATACCTGGTATAATAAATATTCCATATTTATATAATATATCGTTCAATTTATCAAATCGTCGAATTTATATCATATATCGTCTAATTTAACCAATTGGTGCACAAACGTAAGTAAGTGCAAACCAGTTTCAGTCGAGTACAAACAATAAAGCTGTATAGTATCACCTGATAACTAAGATTCTTATAATTATCCTGATAACTAAGATTCTGATAACTAAGATCTTATAGTCCGTCTAATAATTTGGTCAGAGACTGTAAAGAAATAGCTAAAGAACAAGGAATAGATGACGAATTAAAAGAATACATTTTAAAAACTCCTGGCTCATTAATTTTCAACAAACTTAAAATTCCTCATTCTAAACAATGAACTTACAGTGATTTATCAAATGAAGCGTTTCGACCTTATATTCCATTAAAGTTTAGAAGAGAATTTTTTTATTCGATTAACCAACTATCACATTCAGGTATTGAAACTATTGCCAGATTACTCAACTATATAAATAGATTGATTTAGCCAGATATAAATAAAGATTGCAGACGATGGGCTCGAACTTGTATACCATGCCAAAGATCAAAGATTCAACCTCCCATTACTATGATCGACTGTGCCATTAGAAGAATGCACGGCCGAAACTGTTGCGAGAGATCTATAAAAGTACGGGAATAGCGAGATTTTGCAGACCCACCTAAATAACAATTGACTATGGTCACCCATTCGAATGAACTCAGTACAGAAAGCTCGCTAAACTTTTAGGATTCTACAAGAATCGTATTACACTGTACCACCCACGATCGAATGGCTTGATTGAAAATCTCCACAAAGCATTGAAAACCCCTTTAATGAGTCACCAAAATTAACGCTGGCCAGAAGTTTTACCATTCTTATTTTTAATGTCAGGAATTCCGTCAGCTTTTAAGGAAGATATAAAACCTACTGCAGCAGAACTTGTTCATGGAATATCAACCTGGAAAAAAAATTTGTCCACCAAGAACAACAGCATACTTCAGATTTCATTCCGAAGTTAGGGCAATACTTGTATCAAATCATTTACAACGTGGCACTCTTTCACAAAAATTTAGAAAATTGCAATCACGCATTTGTTCACGTTTTGACAAATGAAAATATGTTATCTGCTAAATGTAAATATTATATGGACCCTATATTATCAAAATTTTATAAATAATCCATTAAAGGTCAAGACGTCAACGTATCTATCAAAAGGTAAAAGACATCATCTATGGAAAACTCGGATCTTAATAAAAAATACTTAAGCTATAGTTAACATCATAATCAACACCCAACATTTCTCCAGTAAGATCATCGATAACCTGTATATATATATATATATATATATATATATATTTATTGTTTCGTGTNTATTTATATATATATATATATATATATATATATATAGTCCCTAACCAAATTATTAGACGCACTATGAGATTCTATGTAAAATCTCAATGATCAGGTGATGCTATAGAACTTTATTGTTTTTACGTGGCTGAAACCGGTTTGCACTTGTTTACGTCCGTGTATTAATTGGTTAACATTGTAATGCAATAAGTTAAAAATAAATACAAATAGGAAGTACATAAAAAAATCTCCTGAATTAAAACCCATTACATGTATGTTTAAATATAAAAGTATTGCATACAAACTCGTGCAAAGCATGTAACTATTACAATATAATCATATAGTACCTGATATAATAAATATTCTATATTTATACAATATATCGTCTAATTTATCCAATTGTATACACGAACGTAAGCAAGTGCAAACCGGTTTCAGTCCCATAAAAAAAATAAAGCTGTATAGTATCAGAAGCGAGAAAATAAAATAAAGAAAAGATATATTATTTTCATCAGCTCACACGTATATATCCGCAATAAGGAGTGCTTTCTAATATTGCATCAATATAGCAAAATATATCAATACAATAGTGCGAGGAGCACTAAAAAAAATTGAGAAAATAGAACACATTAGGTTCTAAAAAAAAGAGTGTTGTATATCTATAGCACTCCTTAGAGAGAGATGTGTTAACACAACAGGTCATCCTTTCGGGTGAAAGAAAGAAAGGTACTCACCCTCTGCGAGAGAAGATCTATCCTCTCCTCCAAGCTGACAATCCTCATCTGTTGCTCCTCATGTTCCCAACTCATCTTCAAGAGTTTATCCTCTATGGTGATGATTCTCCACCCCACCACTCCTAACACCAGAAGAAGAAGAAAGGAGAAGGCACAGAAGAAGACACAGAATGAAGACTCTTTCTTCGATTCCATTCTTCCTCTTGTTGTTGTTTGTTGATCTCGTCAAAAACCGCCCATATCAACATCCATTGGCAGGCATTCCAAATCATGTGAATCAGAAAAATTTCCAAACCGACCCAAAAACACGTGGGATTTAAAAAAGTGAATTTAGGATCTCAATGTGTAACCGCCATTCGATAAATGCTGAATGAAAAAAAATACTCCTGTCTTGAGAAATCATTTTAAGATTGCTGCACACAGCATGATAGGATTTCCACAAAAGGCTCAGTGTTATAACACGTGGTTCGATAAAAGATGAGAATCGATGGTTTGAAAGGCTCTCTTTATTATCCTCTCTTTCCTTCGTCGCCCACACAAAATCGACTGCTAGCAGATCTTCACCCGTCGGTACCACTCAACTGAAATGGTTGCTCCCACAGAAAACTTCGCCAATTTAATCGCCAAGCATTCCTCTTAAACTGGCCATCGGCAATTGATTATTCCGGAACAGTGTGAATGACATTTATCGCATTTACGAACATTCGGCATTCTTTTTTTTTAATCGCTTCCCTAACCAATTTTTTGGAAGTAAAAAAAAAATGCAAAAAATCAACATCTTTTTTTTTCTATTTCATTAATAAATACAAGGAAGTAAAACAAAATATAATACACACGTTCAAAGTTGGAATTTTAATTTTTTTATTCCTAAAAAATATTTAATGTACCATCAATTTACTATTCCAAATTATCTCGGACACGTGAAAAATATTAACTATTAGTCTTTGTATATGTTCATATCTTCATAATCTGAAAAATCATCTGCACTTTCGCTCGCGCTCGCGAAATTTTTTACTCTTTTTTTTTTCAATGTAAATTCATCGACCATTGTATATACAATTGGGTATAATATTAAAAAAAAACACAACTACTTCCATTTAGTAGGTATAACATTTACCATGACGCAATGCTAAATTCTATGCCACTATCCACATAAATGCCACTATCCACATAAATCAATTATTAATCAAAAATCGAATATCAATTACTTTTCTTTATAATGCAATAAAATCTGGCGAGCAGCTATTTAAACGATCAAACACTTCGTTTGTTTATTTGTGGCTTGAA